TCTGATTTCACAGAAGACTTGATCTGATTCACACGTTGTATCAAATGGTTTATATTTAACTTTCTCATGTTTTTTTCTACACATTGACACTTTCCGCAAATGTTCTTTTTCTTAAACTTCTTCTGAAAACGTTTGTCCCAACTGCGTGGTTCGATGCTCTTGATATTAATTACTGTATTGTCTGGTCCAGACTCGATAATTTACAGACCGCCGTCATATAGCTTGGAATATTGCTGAGTGCGGCGTGAAACAACAAACCAACCAACTAACCAAACTAACACTTTTGATTTGATTTTGGTACCTATTTTATCATTGACAGGGTGCTGTACAAAATGTGTCACTAAATTACCTACTGTACCAAAACCTATGGCTGTAAAAAGTATCTGTAAAGTCACATAAAGCTGTCTAATAAGGTACTGCCCTTAAAACTTGAAATCTAAAAGTAACATTGTGCCTTTTCACTTGCATTACACGAGTAAGTTATAGAGCTGTTAATATTAAAAATTATTTGCCAAGTTATAAATATCTAAGTTTTTAACTATTCTTTGAACACAAGTGTTAAATTTTAGTTAAAATGGAATTTCCCTTGGTTATCTCATGTCAGTAAAAGAAAAATCAAATGCACAAATAATTTGTTTACGGCTGCAGAAATATATTCTTTTGCTGTAAATCCCCGTCTTATGATATTATTTGTGTTATTATTTTTATGATAAAACCTCCACCCTTTTTTACCAGATGACACACGACAAGGTTTAGGTTGACTTTCAGCAGGGAGTTATATAAACTGCCGGGGAAAAGAAAGTATGCACCAATGTTTGATGAGTTTGTTTGGTTTAAAATGAAACAAACAAGAAATGGTTATTGGATGGTGATGTCTGTAATACCGTACTAATATTGGTATCGTAGTTGTGCTTTGGACCGTAAGTTAGCAGTGTTTCGGTGATTGCCGTCAGCCTAATAACGTTTGGATAACGTTTGTAATGTTTTGGTCACATCCAATTTTCAAGTGTATACTTTCTTTTGTCCGGCAGTGTATATACCCTGGTTACATGGAAGTGGCCCAACAACATTCAGTCATTGCCTCCCAAGGAGTGTGTGTGAGTGAGTTGGACTTGACACCGCTTTAAGCAATATTCCAGCAATATCACGTCGGAGGACACCAGAAATGGCTTCACACATTGCACCCATGTGGGTGAGTAAGTTGGGTTTATCGCCGTCTTGAACAGTATTCCAGTTATATCATGCCCGAAGTGATGCAGGTTTTAGACATTTACCACTTTGGTGAAACCCATGAGCATGGGTATGGTACTGACAAACCTAGAAACATAATCGGGCGAACCGGGATTCGAACAACACGATCATAGGTTTCATAAATCTAAGTGGTACAATGTGACGTTTAACCCCATTTCACCTCACCTCGGCTCGAGTGACACGGATGGCTAATCGTCAGAGGCGCCGCAAGTCGCTGTACAGAGCTGTGTCCCTCAGGCGTGCCAGGAACTTATGGTCGTGGGTTCGAATCCTAGATTCTTACTGATTTCTAAATTTCTGAGCACCATACCTGTGATCGTGACCTTATGGTAAACGGGTGAGGCCTGCACAGCACACACACACACACACACACACCACCCTTGTTGACAATCATTGTCAAGGTCATAATATACTATCCGAAAACAAATAGAGGACCATGGAAGTATAAATCGGCCTGAGATTCGGAACCAAAACTTAACGCTCCAACATCCCAAAACTTTGCAAATAGACCATGCAATTCCTTCGTGCACGTGGATAGGATGTTGTTCTTGATTTTGACACACGTGTGTTTGTTTGGATGGTTGTACTAGTCCGGACTTCATTCGCCACGAACTGTGCACATGACATAAACAGAGTGAGTGAGTATGGTTTTACGCCACATTATTTCAGCAATATCACGGCGGGTGACACCGGAAAATGGGCATCACGCATTGTATCCATGTCGGGAATTGAACCCGGGTCTTCGGCGTGACGAACCAACGCTTTAACCACTAGGCTACCCCACCGTCCCTCATGAAAAATATTTATTAAATAACTAACGAGGTACGAGTGATTAGGGGAAATTTGTCACGAGTGAAATTGATGATGATGAGTGACGCATTTCCCTTAATGACGAGTACCAAGCGGATTCTTCTATTGTTTATCCACATTCGTTCTAATCACATAAATGTGATACCCGTGGAGACCCGGGATAGACCAGGTCTTCAGCAACCCATGCTTGCAGTAAAAGGCGACTATGCTTGTCGTAAGGCGACTAACGGGATCGGGTGGTCAGGCTCGCTGACTTTGTTGAAGCAAGTCAACGATCCCAATTGCGTGGATCGATGCTCATGTTATCGATCACCAGATTGTCTGGTCCAGACTCGATTATTTACAAACCGCCGTCATATAGCTGAAATATTGCTGAGTGCGATAACAAAACAACAAACCAACCAACCAAGATAAATGTGAATATACTAAGCTGACCTCGTCGTACATTTCATCCTTTCTCCCGCCAGATCTGTCGTTATCTTTTATAATATGACGTCATTACATTGCAAAGTGACCTCATCCATTTTCTGGTTCAAATTGTCATTTTAACTGACCAATCAGCAGTCACTATCTTCATTACACCTCACTGGGGTCAGCTGAAGCGGGGCTTCACTTGGATGCAATACTTTTAGAAAAACTTCAACAGAAGACGTATCTGATAAATATGCAGAGAGGTCATATTTGTTCAGATCTGACCACCTACTTTGAAGGCTTCAAAATCCTTTTGTGAAGGGTGTTATAGTAATTATTTTCTCTATGTTGGGGACAAGGGATTCATTGCTAAAACGTTGTAAAAGAAGAGCATAATTTGCTTGACTCGTTAGCTTTATAAAAGGATCTCATCGTATAGGGAAATATTGTGATGCAATATAATGCCACCCCACTTCTAAAGATTCGTACGGCTATGGCATATATGGAACTGTCATAAAAACATTCACTTTTTAAGGAAGAGAATTTATGAGTGAGTGAGTATTGTTTTACGCCGTTTTTAGCAATATCACGGCGGGGGGGGGGGGGGGGGGCACCAGAAATGGGCTTCACACATTGTACCCATGTCGGGAATCGAACCCGAGAGAAAGTATGAATGTCAATAAGGAACACAACGTTTCGGAGTATATACTTACTCCTTCACAGGTGAATAAATGCTATGAGGCAGAGAACATATATATGTACCTGGTTCATTGCTGGCAACGGTAACGTATTTGTGAATTAGATACACGTGTCTTTGCTCTTGAAACAAAAGAGAGTTTCACAGAGGAAACCGAAATGATGTCAGCAGACAACATACATCGGCATAGGGCCTTTGATGTCAGTAACAAGCTAACACATATATCTAATTTTACACTGAAACATGTAGTTTAGAACTTTTACACAAAGACGTCTCTGGATGATGCGCGGAGACCAGTTATACAAACTATATGCAAGAGTGTTATTGTAATCCCCGATCGTCATCTGTTGACAATTCAGCCTGGAACACAACTAGTAGTTTATATCACGGAACCTGTTGACTATCAAGCCTGGAACAAAACTAGTGACTGATATCACGGAACCTGTTGACTATCAAGCCTGGAACACAACTAGTGACTGATATCACGGAACCTGTTGACTATCAAGCCCGGAACACAACTAGTGATTTATATGACGGAACCTGTTGACTATCAAGCCTGGAACACAACTAGTGATTTATATGACGGAACCTGTTGACTATCAAGCCTGGAACACAACTAGCGATTGATATCACGGAACCTGTTGACTATCAAGCCTGGAACACAACTAGTGATTTATATCACGGAACCTGTTGACTATCAAGCCTGGAACACAACTAGTGATTTATATCACGGAACCTGTTGACTATCAAGCCTGGAACACAACTAGTGATTTATATCACGGAACCTGTTGACTATCAAGCCTGGAACACAACTAGTGATTTATATCACGGAACCTGTTGACTATCAAGCCTGGAACACAACTAGTGATTTATATCACGGAACCTGTTGATAACTGAGCTTGGAACACAACCAGTGATTTAGCCTATATCACGGAACCTGTTGACAATTTACCTGGAACACAACTAGTGACTGATATCACGGAACCTGTTGACAATTTACCTGGAACACAACTAGTGACTGATATCACGGAACCTGTTGACTATCAAGCCTGGAACACAACTAGTGATTGATATCACAGAACCTGTTGATAATTGAGCCTGGAACACAACCAGTGATTTAGCCTATATCACGGAACCTGTTGACTATCAAGCCTGGAGCACAATATTATGAACAACGCCCCAAGACGTTGAGGTACGATAACGCAAACCACCAAGTCACCGAGCTTGACCATCAGATAATTTTGGATTAGAACACATGACCACCGGATCATGGCAGCTAAGGGGAATAACTCCGTACTATTGGTTGCGATGCGTCACATCACCTGGTGAGGATGCCACAAGAAGCAGGTAAATGGCACCATCAAATGACTTCATTGGGCAATTCTGTTTGGGGACTCCAACATACCCTCTGACATGTAAACTAATTCCAATTCACTTACTTATGTGCTACCATGCTACTCTTTTCTCACAAAAATAATATAAAGGTGTTTCAATCAGTAATATGGACACACAAAATCACCATGGACTTCCCATTAAAAATATCATTTGTGAAACAAGAAATTATGGAAATTGGAAACACTCTGTCGCTTTGACTTTCTGGTATTTCTTCTTCTTTTTTTAATCCCCAACGAGGCTAAGTTATTTTAGCTTTTACAATAACCTGTTGATACATATTTTCAAACTTAAAAAAACTCGCACATTACAAAAATCAAGATATCAACAAAGTTTTAAGTCTATCATTCCTTTTGCGCACCGCACTACAGATAGTACAGGGAGCTCCGCGAACGGGATATCGCTGTGAGGAGCTTGTCCTCCTTTACAGGGGAAGTAACTCTCATCGTCATTTATTAGTGCAGACGATTGCGAAGTTGTGGAGATGATACTACTGTATCATGGACGTCGTAGAGACAAGAATGAAGTTAGTTGTATCATTTGGAAATTAAAATACCATTAAATGCATTGACATTTTCGTAGTGTAATTATGTTCATGTTCACCCATTTATTGTTTTTGGAGCAGGGAGATTTTTCTGTCACAGGTAAACTTACTAAAAAGATCCAGGCTAATCCCTGGATAGGCATATCTTTGACCTATCGCCTCCAGATGTGATTAGTATCTTACAGTCATTGACCATCTACTAATTTTACGTAGGATTCTATGATACATTAGATAAGCTATCGAAAATAATCGTTTAAGTTAATGATTTCGTCTTGCTTTGATTTTCTATTTCTCAGGTTTTGAAGACGTCCAGACAGATTAGGTAGATCAATTACTACCACCACTGACGAAGATGCCTCGCTACCTTGGTATTAACTATTGGCAGAGTGTAAGGAAATGTGTTTAATCATGTAGGAAATGCTAAAACCTAAAGCAAAGGATTTCATGTTTATGAGTCAGCGATAGACTTAATTTGTGATAAGTCTGTAATACAGAAAAGGTATTGCTTGTTTAAAATTACCCCAGGATTTCTGGAGTAAAATAGGAACCCAGTACCCTATGTGGACAAATGAGGATTTACTTCTTTACTCATGCTGTCAGCCATTGGTTTGCCTGACCTAGAATTGACTATTTGCAGACCACAATAACATAGCTGAATTATTGCTGAATGAGGTGTAAAACAATATTCACTCAGTTATTATATTCTTCATGTTGACTAACTATTTTTTTTACTTTCATTTATTCTCTTACACACCCCAGACAATATGTATCCCCCATCACCCCCATTCCATCTCTCATCCACTTCTCAACTCTGTCAGGCTATACTCAGCTCTGGACCTAAAATTTAGAGAATTAAGGGCCCCTTTGTTCTTGAGGGTTTCCTTGTCCAATTATTTTTATTTAACCAAATAAATAACTTTTGTTCTGGAACAATATGTTTGTCCAACTTTCTTGTAACTTTTTAAGCAAGATTGGTCAAAATGTATCACTTGCAGAAAATAGAAGAAAGACGAGAATTCTATTCTCGTGCACTGCTGCTTGTTCCACATCATCTGCATGAGGAGGATTCTGCCAAAAGATTCAAATCAGATCAGCAAGTATTAAATGAAGATCAGTGGAAGGTCTGCAGAGATGCTGGTGAAAATATATTCTTCATATTTTTCTATATTAGAAACTTAATGGAAAGTTGTTTGTAACATTTGATTGAGGAATGAATTTAAAAAAAAATTAAGTAACTGTTCTTATAATTTTGCACAAGTTTAAGTTTTAAATACTTTTGTAAATGTTTTTCTTTTTCCCAAACATCTGAATCCATAAATGTATCTATGCACATATGTCACTACAAAAAAACATATTTGCTAATATTTTCTCAAAAACCTACTGTGTCTATGTGATTGAGGTTATGATTCATTAGAACTTCAACTCTTGTACAGGTCGGGGCGGTCGGGTAGCCTAGTGGTTAAAGCGTTCGCTCGTCACGCCGAAGACCCGAGTTCGATTCCCGACATGGGTACAATGTGTGAAGCCCATTTCTGGTGTCCCCCGCCGTGATATTGCTGAAATATTGCTAAAAGCGGCGTAAAACCATACTCACTCACTCACTCACTCTTGTACAGGTCCTTTTGCGGATATCACTGTTACTGAGGGTCTTGATATACTCAGACAGCTAAAAAATGTCACTGGAAGTATTTCAGAAACTGCAGGAAGGATTCCTGAAATGTATGACAGGTTAGTGAAGAAAATTGTTCAGATTTAGAAAAACTGTTCTGTAATTATATTTCCATTGTCTGCCATTTGTCAGCTGAGATTATGTGTAAGTCAGTTATTTCTAGATGTTATGTGAAGAAAGTATGATGTTTATAAAAATAGAAGTCATGCTGAAGAGTTCGCAGTCTTATAGGCTCTGATAAAATGTCTTCAACTGAGAACAAATAATCGTTTTAAGATTACATCATATATCTATCAGGAGAACAGAGTTCCATCTCATTCATGACCATGTGGCCGAGGTAGTGCCCAGCTCCAACCCAGAATCACTTGACAGTTTCCTCTCTGATGAACTCTTTGAACCCTTTGACACATTTGATGATACAAAAGAAGTGTTTGAGAAGGAGGACTTATCTAAATATGGAGATAAAAAAGAGAAAGGTATGTGATTAGTGATTTAAAATCAATATACATATTCATAGAAATTGACATGATAGAGTGTTCTCCAGTTTGAAGAATGCTGTTGAACTATTGTGGCTTGGCTAATTCTGTCCAAGTTTTTAGAAGTATGTACACAGTGCCAAGTATATTTGAGTCTTCCAGCCTGAACTTGTATTTCGGCAATATTTTCTGTTGATATCACTATTAGTCGTTGTATATGGATTATCACAAGCTGATCTTACTAGACCATAAGAAAATGTTACGAGACACGCTTCGGAGAAGTTGCTTAAGATACGGATTGTGTTCATATTCAATACTCAGTTATTAGTTGCATTGAATACAATTGTTTTGGTCTCCTCAAGATGTTGATGTCTGAGGATGAAAAGTCAGATAATCAGATAACAGGGTTAAAAATGTATTTTTATTTTTATTTTTTAACTAGTCTGCCAAAATAATAAGTAATGGTGGTAGTCCACAAGGAAATCTCACCAATCCTTCCTGAATTTCACTAGTCTCAGACTTAATAAGCAGACTTCTGTTAATTTCAAAACTGAGATTGGTGGCCTCCTGAGATATCCAGAGATATTTGCTTTAAATGTAGCCATTTAAAAAGTCATGGTATGTTGTGTGCATATTTCTGATAAAATTGATGATGTCCTCTCACCTCATTTCAGACAAACTGGAGAATGTACTTTTGTCAGATGGACTGAAGGACACATGTAGCAATATTCCCAAGCTGTCTTCTCTTATCCATTGTCTACAGTCAAGATCAGTGAAGGACCCACTAGCTGACGAAGATGGCAAAATGTATTCTGAAGTTCTTACCTTTAAGTAAGTTACCAGTCCAAACAAACACCAGAAGCTTTAAGAAACAAATTTCTTGATATTGCTATGTGACAACGTGTAGAGTTTTAAAGACAAACTGGGTCAAGGCAATGTTCAAATCCATCCACAATACAGTGGGAAGACAAATGAAAATAGATAACACTATAAGTATCTTCATTTTGATATCAGTTGGTGGCTTTTGGCTGCATTTAATGAACCATCAACCATTTTTCCTGGTGATGATACTTTTCATGATGAAACTGTAATGTCCCCACTTTCATGCATCATTACATAGACACTTCTGCAGGGTCGGATGCTTGTAGCAATGTCAGCAAGCGTCCATGCAGCAGGGGACTCTGAAACATCACTCACCCAAAGGGAATTTACTAGTTTATTGTTTAATAATATAGATATCATTGATATGATGTAAAAAGAAAGCCTCCTCTGATTGTTGAATTGTACTTGTCAAAAAGTAAAACTACTCTCCGGCCTGCACAATATTGCTGTAGTTTCATGCTGGGAGGATAGTGTGAGTTTCAAATTATGCTCATTTGAGCTTCTTACCTCTTTCTTTCTTTTTTTATATATGTCCATCTAATCAGAGAGCATTTCAAGGTGGAAGGAGAGGAGAGTGTGCTACAGTCGAGTGAGGAGATGCCCATACACCTGGAAGTATTTGATAAATACACATATTCAGATTATAAAGTAAGAATGCATACATATAGTGTGTAAAAGAAATAATTATTTATATACAACTTTGATTGAAAGAATATAGTTAAACACCATTAGTCTGAACCTTATTATCTGATTGACATGGATTAATCTAGGATTCTGACACACGCGCGTGCGCGCACACGCACACACACGAACGCATGCAGACACACACATATTGCTATGTTTACAGAATGAGAGTATGGTCGTATGAACATAAGATCTCACAATGAGCCCCAAAAGTCCATACAAAAATAACTACAGTACATGTTGAGTTCAATGTAGACTTATGGGCCAACCACTTGAATTCTGAGGGGTGCCTGGGGTTTTATTGCAAAAAATAATTTCTTCCACGAGAACATACATTGCCAACAGGTTTTACTAAAAACATATTGTTCGCTGGACATGGAGGATATCTGAAAAACATATGTTGTGAAGTTATATTTTAGTTGTTCAACTCCTCATTTCATCAAAACAAATTTGTGTTTTGAAGAAGTGCCCGAAAATAGTCTCTGTCTCTGACAAACATCAAGCCCCTCCTGCAGTGGTAGAAACTAACAGTTTCAGTCCACTAGTCCTTATAATGATAGCATATAGCAAAACCTTTAAAAATGTCAAAATTCTACTAGTCCTTAGGATACCTTTACTATTGGGCAGTTTGTCAAGGACTATAGGACTAGTGCCAATTTCAAACCCTGCTCCTGTCCCTGAATATTAAGTGGTGTTTCCCTTATGTTACCAGGCAGGTGAACTGGAAGATGTCATACTACCTCCCTGCAGACCAGGAGGGGAAGACAGAGTGAACAGCATGCTTGACATACACTCCCACGTGAAGACATGTGTCAGCAGGGAAGCTGAGGAGCAGTGTGAAGACAAAAATGGTGACTCATGACATATTGATGTGTATTTCATGTATGTTCATGATACAATGCATGATAAATAGAGTTTGATACTTGTAATGTTATGGTTGTGTATTCCCCAAAACAAAGGAGATTTTATCGAACTGAATGGAAAATGTCCTGGCGGCTCAGAGGAAGAATGTCCTAAAATATATACCGGTACCAGTACACACTCTGCTTTAATGACCGTGTGTATCATATAGCAATGTAATGTGATGTATCAATATGTATACCGGTATGTCAATCTTTTATTTCACAGATGATGTGCATTTATTTTCTGATGCATTTACCCCTGCTGCTGAAGTTGAGGAACCTGAATTTACAGGCATTTCTTCACTGCACAGTGTAGACTTTCTCTCTCTCAGTGATCTAGGTGAGATGTGAAAACCATTTTATGCTGCGGTGAAATAGGAACATGAAACTCCTTTTGTGGCAGAGCAGAGTTGCACCCCTTTGTCATACCAGGATTCACTGACCTTGGGTTTGAATCCCAGATTCATCCTTATTATGATCCTTGGTTTGTCGTGCTTGTGGGTTTGACAAGAGAGGTTAAAGGTATAGATCTGCATCATTTGGCTTGTAATGATACATCTAAAACAATGACATTAAACCTCATCTTAATGTTACTCTTTATGTAGATAAAGTCATGATAAAGATACCATCTATTGAAACTTACTAACTATATTAATTACCATAATCAATGTTTATTAGAAAAGGAAATGAATAAATATACTTTTTATTTCTCTTGGGCCTGGTAACATTTGAAAGACTTATTAAACTTTACTTTTCACTTAAACTTTTAGTAACTTGTCTTTGACTGCATTTTCAAATCAGTTTCGTACAGTTAAACTATATGACATCAACATAATCTCCCAATAAGGTGTTGACACTAAGGATGGCAGGCTGGAGAGTAGAGCCATGCTGGAATCCCCCTTACTGCCATGTGGGCCACCAGAGATGCATGCCTGGAACCTCTCTGACCAGCTCCAGGAACTCAAGCCAGCATCACCTGGCATCGACACGACTCAGTTTGTATACCAGTCTTATAGAGTAAGAGAGACAATCCTTGTAAACGTTTTCTTGGTTCTCAAACACAACCCACTTCACCAAGTGATTCAGCACGAAGATAAATACATTAAAATTTTATCATTTCGTCACATTTGCATTTTTTAATAGTCCTTATGTGTTGTTTTCATATTCATTATTCAATAAAAAATAAAAGTGTGTAGATTCATGAACTGTGAATGCAATGTCTGTTTGCTCTAGAACTTTCCTGCGTCAGTTTGAAAAAGAAGCCCTGCTAACAAAAGTGTGGGAACATGAGAAATTCTTTGATGAAGTCCTAGCCCTGCGACTCCCTGGTATGTGTTGAACACTTCAAGTTATGGCTAAGGTATTAATACATGAGGACAGATTTCACACAGGAGAGAAGGAAACTGAGTGTTAGAAGCTTTCTGTTTTGCAATTGACGTAAGGGACGGTCATATATATACTGAACCGCAAAAGAAACTTCACCATGGATAGTTATATGAGAAACCTTATTTGTCCAAACACTGTAAACATACTTTGAGACATATTAAAAAGATGAAACTTGGCAAAACTGATCATCAAGTCTGAACTTAAAGTGTCAAATGTTCTTAAAGGGAAACACAACACTAGTCCCTGAGAAAATGGCATCACAAGTATCTCGTGTGTCCGCCATGTGCAGTGATGACTGCCGTGCAGTGTTGATACGTGAAATGGATGAGGTGGTTGATGAAGGCCATAGGCACTTGAACTCACACCTTGAGGAACGCCTGACGCAGTTCAGCTGCAGTTGTTGGCCTTGGTCGGACGTCATTCAGCGATCTTAGAATCTTGACCCACAGGTGCTCAATGGGAATTAAATCGGGACTGAGGGCAGGCCACTGCATTGTCTTGTTGCCATTCTGCTGGAGGAAGTCTCTTGTTGCTCTCGCAGTGTGGGCACAGGTGTTATCATGCTGAAAGTCGTGGTTGCGTTGACATGCCAAATGAGGTATGGCGTGTAGTCTCAAGACTTGATCAATGTACCGAGCTGCTGTGACTCAATTGCCTCTCCCTGGACCGATGTTCTGGAAGACCACAGGGCCGACCTTCTGTGCAAGACCAATTCCACCCCACACCATGATGCTGACCACCCCACAAGTCTATCTCAACAACACAAGCATCTGAATAACGTTCCCCACGGCGTCGCCAGACTCTCTCTCTGCCATCTGCTGTTAAGATACAGTAACGGCTCTTGTCTGAGAAGAGGACTTTTCTCCACTGCTGGTGGCGCCAAAGCTGGTGATGTGTTGCCCACTGAGGACGGTCCCGGCGATGACTTGGTGTCAGAATGGGTCCTCGGTATGGCCAGTGACAGTGGAGGTGTCTGCTCGTCAGTCGTCGACGCATGGTGTCCGCACTAATGTGTCGCTGGTGTTCTGTCGAGCAGTTTCCACAGTAGTAACAAAGCTGTCACACAATCTGATGATCCTGACGTCGGGTGGTGACCCTTGGTCTTCTACTACGTGGTCAGTCATCTGTAGTGTTGGTGGTCTGGTACCGTTGCTGGAACCTGAATAGGGTCCTTACGTGGACTTGAAAGGGCTTGGTATCACTGACTTCAAGTCAGTCTTGGCTTGTGGTAGCAATTCAATAACAAATGAATGTTATCTGATCTGGGTGGATTTTTATAGGGAAAGAAATGGGGAAACGCATGTGCATTTCAATTCAGGTGCATCGGGTTACCATGGCTGTTGCCGTGATGCGTTTGGGCGATCGGTTTTATTGTCATCTGCTTTGTTTTTTATCATCAAATTTCATTTTTCCGGACAAGGTATTTTGGAAACTTTGACAAAAATTACCCAGATATTGAAATGACAAGTTTTCATGCAATGTTACCTTGGGTGACGTTTCTTTTGCGGTTCAGTATATTATAGGGGTGTGGGGCTAGTGGTATTGGTCTTAGGACTGTATCATTTTGTGTCAACCCCGACACCCCCCACCACCCCATTTTATGTAACATTTTTTCGACATCTCTTTAGGTGTGTTTGGAGATGGACTTGAGCACAAAGACACACCTTTTCAAATTTCAAGCTGATTATACATTTATATTGTGATTCAGTATATGTTTTTGAAAAGGTCTAGAATTTTTCAATTTAAGGAAACTTCAACTTGTTTATACATCAATTATGTTAAGCTCCGCTTTATTTTATTGCATGCCTACAAGATTAACAAGGTTCCAATGATTCAATTTCAGAACCTGATGTAGCAGAGGAGCATTTCCCTGATCACACTTCTATCACAGACCTGGTGAGCCAGCTGCAGCTGGTGGAGGAGTCTGGCCTGGGCAGTGTGGAGCTACAGCTGAGATGGGATCCGTGGCTGTCCTGCAGAGCTCTCATGACCAGGATGCTGCAGGTAGAACATGCAGACTTTGGGAGTGTCAGTTTTGCCACATCAGTGCTGAATGTGGCTGAAGAATTTGTCAAGTACACCAACAGTCAGTTGTTTGGTAAATATGAAATGTCCCTTTATGTTATCACTATTCGGGCTAGTAAATGTTTGAAGTTAAATTGCATCACTGTGCAAAGTATGTAAAAAGTAGTTACGTTGGTGTTTCCACATATGAACATGTCTATTATCGGGAAGTCATATGTTGTGTTTTCTTTGTTTGTTGTTTATCGCCAAACTGAGCATTATTCCAACAATATGACGATGGTCTGTAAATAATCAAGGCTGTACCAGACAATCCAGTGATTGACATCTTGAGCATCGATCTATGCAACTGAGATATGATGACATGCATCAACCAAGTCAGCGAGCCTGACCACCCGATCCCGTCAGTCGCCTCTCCCGACAAGCACAGAGGCCTTTTACGGCAAGCATGGGTTGCTTTTCTAACCTGGATCTTCACGGGTCATATTTGTTGTGTTTTTGTCAGTAGATGCAGACAATCATGCTGACATACCAACTGTGACTCTTCAAGAAGATGGTTTGGGAAATACACCTACCCATGACAAAGGTGAGTAAACCCACATAGACTTGATAGGTCAGTACTTCTTTCCTGTATAGATTCTTGTGAAATATTCAGAAGGCAATACCAAAAACTCCAAGGTAGAATTATTTAATGGCATTAAGAAAATGTTTTTGATTAATTTGAGAAGGTCTTAGTATTGATGAACATGCTGTGTAAAGTTTGAAGATTCATTGGATCCAGAAGTGAAATATATGGCTACCAAGATGGTTGTGTGAAGGAGAACCCTCACTGAACATGACATTATGTGACATTGACTGGTTACCATTTCAGTGGAAAGAGTTTTCTGTAACTTATAAAGGAAGAGGGGCGGTCGGCTAGCCTAGTGGTTAAAGTGTTCACTCGTCACGCCGAAGACCTGGGTTCGATTCCCGACATGGGTACAATGTGTGAAGCCCATTTCTGGTGTCCCCCGCCGTGATATTGCTGGAATATTGCTAAAAGCGGCGTAAAACCATACTCACTCACTCACTCACTATAAAGGAAGTCCCTTTCATTATGCCTACAGCGGCTAATCCACCAGAAATCACAGAGGGCAAAGCTAACATAGACATGATGAAGGCATCATTGAGCACCAGAGCAGATGGACAAAATCTTAGCAAAGTCAAGCCTCCGGCCAAAATAAACCAGATTTCCAGACCAGCAGTAACAAATGACCACAGTTTCACTGGGTTCAGTCCACTTGATGAATTTTTGATGATGAGATCTTCAACAATTACAAAGCACTTAGGTAAATAGTTTTCAATTCCTATTCTCATGTGTTATAATATGGTTTGGATGTATGTGTCAGTGTTTGTTTGTTGTTTAACACCACACTCAGCAATATTCAAGCTATATGACAGTGGTCTGTAAATAATACAGTCTGGACCAGACAATTCTGTGATTGACATCATGGGCATCAATCTGTGTATTTGGGATACAATGACATCAACCAAGTCAGAGAGCCAGACCACCTGATCCTGTTAGTCGCCTCTTATGACAAGCTAGGGTTGCTGAATTTAACCTGGATCTTGGAATGTATCAGTCACTAGTGTTACATATTCAAGAGTTTGTTGTGTTTGTAATTATAGAAAAAGAGGTTCACATAAATCCCATGTTTGTAGCAATAACAATCATTTAAAAGACAAACATGTCTCGGGTTTAACAAGCGATGCCAATTTGCTTTCATAAAAGAAAACGTGCATACAGACAAGGCTTCAGCATCCAAACAGGCAGGTGAACACAACAAGGACATTGCACAGAGGGTTGAGGAAGCAGTGCCTCGAAAAGCTATCTGCAAAACAGTTGATGTCCAGTTGTCAGGTTAGATTTTTGTTTGTATGGGTTGTTTTCGGAGATTAGGAAGTGGAAAGAGGTTTTGTTTTACACCTTAGTCTAAAATGTTTTCTTGCAGTATTACATATAGAGAATCTCACCTGAGTGTCTTTTGATATCAAATATATCAACACGAGTTGATAAAAGTGGAAAAATTCCAAGGGTTGCTGAGGATTTTTGCCACTTTTATCAACGAGTGTGATTGTGACGTCATGGTAACCAGTGACATCACAATGGTCTGTAAAGCATTGTTATGTCATTTCATTGCAAGCGATATCTCCTGTGGGAGCCAGTTTAGGTGATATAAATGAGTGTCATGAGATCTGGAGCAAACAAACCAAAGGAACATAATTCATGCTCCTCAGTGACACTACCAGGGCATTGTTCTGCAACGTAATCTTGGTTTCCCCTTTATTGGAGGTCTGTGTTAACATGTAGGTGCTACAGAAGTTGAGATTGAGATTGATATTGCTTTATGGAACAATGTCAAGAACACTGTTCCACAAAATAATCACTGTTGGAAGTAAGAGTTGGGACACTCATGCTGCTGTTGTCTTTTTGTGGAACTGGCCAAAAGCTTCTAATTTTGTCCTATGTGATGACCTGTTCAACTTAACTGTTTTGCATGTGACAAATGGTGCATCAGGCAACTATGTGAGTGAGTTGGGTTTTGTAATGCTCTTAGTGTTATTTCATGCACATTTTATAAGGACTTAAAAATATGCATCATACATTAAACACCAGGAACCATCTTCCTGAAATGCTCACAGTGAATCCCAGGTTATATGGTTTCAACCACTAGTTGTTGATTTCCCAACTACTTTGTTCACCTGATTGTGTACCTTGTCGGTGTATGTTTCAGGACCATACGGGTGTCTACCTGGTTGGTGTTTGTTTCAGGACCATACAGGTGTCTACCTGGTCGGTGTATGTTTCAGGACCATACAGGTGTCTACCTTGTCGGTGTATGTTTCAGGACCATACGGGTGTCTACCTGGTTGGTGTTTGTTTCAGGACCATACAGGTGTCTACCTGGTCGGTGTATGTTTCAGGACCATACAGGTGTCTACCTTGTCGGTGTATGTTTCAGGACCATTCGGGTGTCTACCTGGTTGGTGTTTGTTTCAGGACCATACAGGTGTCTACCTGGTCGGTGTATGTTTCAGGACCATACAGGTGTCTACCTGATTGGTGTATGTTTCAGGACCATACAGGTGTCTACCTGGTCGGTGTATGTTTCAGGACCATACAGGTGTCTACCTGGTTGGTGTTTGTTTCAGGACCATACAGGTGTCTACCTTGTCGGTGTATGTTTCAGGACCATACGGGTGGGTGTCTACCTGGTCGGTGTATGTTTCAGGACCATACAGGTGTCTACCTTGTCGGTGTATGTTTCAGGACCATACAGGTGTCTACCTGGTTGGTGTATGTTTCAGGACCATACAGGTGTCTACCTTGTCGGTGTATGTTTCAGGACCATACAGGTGTCTACCTGGTTGGTGTTTGTTTCAGGACCATACAGGTGTTTACCTGATCGGTGTATGTTTCAGGACCATACAGGTGTTTACCTGATGTTTCAGGACCATACAGGTGTCTACCTGATCGGTGTATGTTTCAGGACCATACAGGTGTCTACCTGATTGTTGTATGTTTCAGGACCATACAGGTGTCTACCTAATCGGTGTATGTTTCAGGACCATACAGGTGTCTACCTGGTCGGTGTATGTTTCAGGGCCATACAGGTGTTTACCTGATGTTTCAGGACCATACAGGTGTCTACCTGGTCGGTGTATATTTCAGGACCATACAGGTGTCTCTCTGATTGGGACCATACAGGTGTTTATCTAATTGGTGTATGTTTCAGGACCATACAGGTGTCTACCTGATTGGTGTATGTTTCAGGACCATACAAGCAGGTGTTTCATGCTTTGCATTCATTTGGCCGCCCTTATGTGGATGTTCTGAAGCAGGCAGGAGAGATTCCCCACCATGCCTCCATGTTCAGTCTCAAACTGGACTCAACTCGCTTCCTGGTGAAGCAGCAGGAGAAGGAACAGCAAGATAAACAAACAGGTATTAAAGAAATCTACGATAAGGGGGAGTTGTTTATCATACAAGAAAACACTGCAGGGAGAAAACAACATGAGGGGCATACAATAAAACCCTGCAGGGAGAATAAGATTAATAATTCTCCCTGCAGTGTTTTATTGTTGGACAATCAAACGAACACAAATCGTTGGTTTCTTATTTGACATTCCAACATTATTTACAGCCTCTCTAACATGTCTAAGAATGTTAATAAAATTTACAAGCTTTAAAAATATTTGCCCATATTTAAATATTGATGTGTCCCTGAATACAATCCGATTTTGGCATTTTCGCATTTCCTGATTATTCTCACAAATATTAAAACAATGACAAACGAACACATACATTTTATTCTCAAACGTAATTCATGAAGCAATTCAGAAAATGGTGACATGTATAACATTTCCAACAGACAACAACTGGATGCGTTTATCTGAAAACCGGATTAAGATACGGATTTAACTTTTTATTCTCTCCGACAACATTTTTGGTACAGTTGCAAGTATGTTCATCTTAAAGACTTGCTTGATAAAGTCACCAGTAACACTGAATAGATGCATCCATAATTCAGTCCTGTTTCCATTACTACAATTACTTTTGCATTGTGTTGAGTAACTTAATTCTTTACCACAGAAACATGGGATGTATTTCTAACTGTATAGAGTGAGTGTGTTGGGTTTTACACTGCTTTTAGTAATATTCCATCAATATCATGGCGGTGTACCAAAAATGGGCTTCACACATTGTACCTATGTGGGGAATCGAACCTGGGCCTTTGACATGCAAGCGAACGATTTAACCACTAGGCTACCCCGTCGCCCACCAACTGTATAGAAGGTAAGGTGGAATATGGATGTAACAGAAAAGGTTTCCTCTCCTTGCATGTTGTATTTTCAGAGGGTGGTGATGTGTACAAGTCTATGGTGGTTGTCTATGCTGTGGTTGGAGCTGTAGACCTTTTGGTTCACTGCTGTCTGGAATCTGCCATCCGTCACCTCAGTGCTGTACAAGAGAAGTACCACTCCACTCTAGGAGGTAGAGCTCAGCAGCAGTCTAGGTTCCAGTTTAGTATAGTCTAGGACTTGGTCATGTTTGTAAAATCTGAACAGTGTAAACTTAAGTTTGAAAAATCATAATAAAGACCCACAGTCTGTGTGTTTGAGTCCAATAGCCCAAACTTGTGTTTTGGCATTATGAATACTCTATTTTAGTCTTAGATTATGGCACAGGAAAAGCTGTTCTTGCATGAGTGGAAATTTCTTTACTTGACTTGAATTGTGGCAAGGTCACAGACTAGACTCATACTAATCAATAATTCACTATTTCTGAAAAACACATGACGCATTGATTCATAGTGACATGAAAATACATGGTTATTTTGTAAAGCACTGTCATTATGGGCAAATACATGCATTGTGGTGCAGCTGATCAAACCAAACAGTTGAATTTAGAAACTAAATCACAGGATATTTATGTGGTTATTTATAAAATCCTGATACATATTTTGTTTGTTTATACTGGTATGAGTATTTCTGCTTTGCAGGCTCCATGGAAAGTATCAGGAAGGAGTTATTTCAGTTCAAGGTTTCATTTGACCAAGACAATGTTCTTCATCCCAAAGTGGGCATCCTTTGTAAGAACATAGAGGAAACTGTGAAGCGTTCCCCAGGAGACAGTAAAGGAAACAAGGTGAAGTATAAATGATGCAACCAGTGGTTAAAACTTGAATTAATCTAAAAACTCTGTAAACAAAGATATGGATTCCAATATGGAAACAAGGCAGCTTGTAATGGAATTCTTTTCCAAGATGTTTGTTGGGATATTTCTCATAAACAGTCTTGAAAAGTGAACATATAGTTATTTCTGTTGTGTCGTAGTGTTATGTTGTGTCTGTAATAGACTTGTCTCCAATTTGCAGGTGCTTGTTGTCACAAAACGTAATCTTCCCAGTCTGATGTGTTACCTGGAGAAAGCTTTATCTGTGTGTGGAGACATTTGCCCTTATTTCGTAAAGACCTTAGAGGGAGACACATACGCAGAGTAAGTAGAATGTGGTTCTGTGAGACATAAAATATAATGTACCAGCTTGAGACTTTGGGCACAAGTCCGAAGCCTGAATCTAGTAGATTTTGTTCGTTCCAGTAAGTTCAGCTAATTGATGCCACAAGGAAAGTTTGGTCAAGTAGTTTCAAACAGCTTTGGCACAGAATTGATGTATGCTGAGGATGCAGTTACATAAAGATTAATGCTGTCTCTGAAAATGTATAATGTTGATAGAAACAAGCAACTACATTTATATTGAAAAGGAGCCCTGGTGAGGTGGAGCTTGTGGAAAATCTAGACTTGCTTAATTTAGGATTATAGCATTTCAGCAAGGGCTGGGAAGAAGGGAAATAAAATGGTTGAGGGACTATGAGACCGACTATGTTACATACTCATTGTGTTAACACTAGAATGCAAAACTTGTTGTCCAAGTTTCAAGACACATGCGTCATTGAACTGCATCAACTTTGCAAATTTTCAAATAGAAATGGAAGCAAGGTTTATGGTTGATATTCTAATATTTCTTGAAAAAAAACCACCATTGCTGTTCATACTAACTAAATGTATTAATGTTCCCTACATAGTTTACATGAGGTGACCTAATATTTTAGTGTTACATGTATTGTTATAGTTTAAGGGTTATTAGTAGAGCTGTTTCAGAGTGGAAAATCACAACTGTGTCATCATAAGTGAATCTGCCTTAAACAAGGATACCAAATGGGACATGTTTGGTCTTGTGATTGAGTTTGAAACAGACTCCAACTCATCAGCATGTAGGAAGTGTCAGGACGTCAATGTCAACTACCTGGGGTTAAAAGGGGATCTGCTGGACCTGAAGGCTCAAGGTGAGTTGCTTGTAATGGGTCTTGAGCATGTCCAATAATGTAGATATATTGAGAATGTGAGTGGAGTGTCCCAGATAAGCTCAAAGCCAGATAATGGTGCTTTAGGTACTAGATGTATTCAGGATCACTGTCAATGGTTGTAACAAAGATTCACACTATGGGGTTTGATTCTACACTAATGCAGACAATGACTGATCAAAGATGGCTTTTTGCCTCCATCACAGGGCTAAAGAAATCAAAAACATTTTTAGCAGTTTACTTTTGAAAAGATATCAGATGTTGTCCATAAGAATCTTTTGTTAATTTAACTCTGTATGTCTTTTTTTAGGTCATTTATGTTTCTGTTTGGCTTTCAGAGACACAGAAAGTACATTCCATGCAAATGAAGAAATCTAGTATGAAAGTGACAGTGATTGGCTCTGTGAATGTTACAAGTCAGAAGAACTTACTTCAACTTTTAGAATCAAGGTTCAGTGAATTTGTTATGCATGACCACTGTTTCTTAAATAGAGGTGTGCTCTTGAAAGTTTAAAATAAGAATAATTTGATAATGCATACTTGTGCCAGTCAGTAGACTACCTGCTGTCCCTTGAGACAGTTTTCAGAGAACTACTCATATTCATGATGTTAGACTGAGCATGGTGACTTGTGCTGGAAGCAGGATAATTGCATAGGCAGTAGACTAACATTTAGTCCCAGAAATATAGTTGTCTCATTCAATAAGACATATCTAAAAAATAATACACTTTAAATGGAGCCCAGAACAATGCTTAATTTGATCTAGACTTGTCAAATTATTCTAGACTTCACTGGGATTCATAATTCAATTTCTTTTCTGGGGTTTGGGAGGCAGACTAATTCGAGAGGGTCATGTCTACGACCACTGGATTTGACACAAGAAATCAGCTTTACAGTAAATTACACCAATACTAAATGATAATATTATGATGAGGTGCTGAATTATATTGTCAGTTATGGAAGGAAACATCAGATCCAGTTGAGGGGGCAAGGGTGGCCCAGTCGTCTAACTTGCTGCTGTGCAGAGTTGCATCCCTTAAGCACGACAGAAACCTATTAATGTGGGTTAAAATCCTGGTTCGCCCTGATTATGTTTCTTGGTTTATCAGCACCATACCCATGCTCGTGGGTTTCACAGAAGTGGTAAACGTTTGAAACCTGCATCACTTCTGGCTTTCCTTACGAATTAATCTGACACGCTGTGATATAACTGGAATATTGTTAAAAGTGGAAGTAAACCCAACTCACTCACTCACTCACCAATTACCAATTACCACTTACCACTTACCACTTACCACTTGAACTCCTCAATTGCTAACACTGCTGTTCCACTGCAGACACAACATTGCCGTCATAGAGAGAGACAACTCGGACAGTGACAGCAGGCCCTCTGTGGATGTGATTGTGGATGAGAGACACTGTGTTGTGCTGCATTCTCTGTTGGACATCAGTGATGAGTGGCAGGTGGAACACCTGTCCAGGAAGCTGGTGGTGCTAGGCTTACAGTTCACCTACTGCTGGGTCATCTTCTACTCCACAGCTGCAACATCAACAGGGTAACTCCAACCTCTTTGTTTTCCCAACTGGGTACATACATTTGACATATCAAGGCTTTAGGGTAAGATGGGTGGGTGATGTGAGGTTCAGAGATTTTCAACACCCCCTTCCCATTTTGAAGGTACAAATTGATAAGTGAACTACACCCCCACCCCCCACCCCCATCCCCTTTAAAATATCCACGTTGATCTGCATCTACATGCAAGAAAAGAAACATATGTTCAATGGAGACTATATATCTATTTGGTCTTCCTGTTCTGAAGGGAAAACAAACCCATGCTCACCCTTCTATAAAAATAACCACAGGCAAAAGAGAGTTGTTCTAACCCAGATGATACCTTTTACCTGGGGAAAATTGCATATTCATGGACCAAACCATCCTTTGGCCTCGATGGGTAGTTTGGTTCATGAATATGCATAAACTTCGTGAAAGGGTCCTATGGTTTAACTTTTTGTTCTGTGCTTGTTCTTTCACAGTTACCTGCTGCCAAATGCTGTGGTTGCAAATATCTGTAAGCTGGAGGCAGCACTGGCAAATCTGAACAGCAACACTGAGAGGTTTCAAGTGACATACAAAGTAAGGCTTTCAATTTTGTCGATTCAGTTAATATAGTAGATGACAAAATGCTTGTAAAAGCCACCACAATCATGCTCATTGATCACTTCGGGCTTTGCTCCCACATCAAGCTAACGCGCCATAATATTACTGGAATACTGGTCATTGCAGTGTTGAACCCAACTCACTCACTCACTCAATTGTAAAAGCCAAGTAATTTATCCATCATCCTGTTTTTGAGATCTTACTTATAGAGAACATGTTTTAGCTACATATGTATTGAAACTATAGCAGATAAGGCTATTTAACTGAGGTATTGTTAAAGAATGTTCTTGCATTTCCCACAGCTGCTGATAGCCTACAACCTGGTACAGCTGGCAGCCACAGTGAGAACGTGCTGTGACAAGTGTGTTGAGATGTCCACGGTGTGGACCAAACAACAGTGGACAAGACCCTGGATCTCAGGGGAGGCCTCAAGGGTCAGTGTATACAGTTATCTCTTAAGAGATGACTTCAATATTTTTGTGTTTCAGTATACAGTGTGGAAGTATAAATGTTAAAGCTGGTGTGCACAATGTTTATGTTTATACTTCCATCAACGCACAAAACATATTGAAGTCAATTCTTATAAAAAAATATTTCAACAATAATAACTTCAGAGACAGATACCCGGTAATTAAATTATTAACACAAAAACTGTAGACAACAGTACAAAATGGGTGACATCCTTCAGCCCCATGATGCAACAGAAGCCTCTCCCATTCTATTATCAGCCAATCTGTAAGCAAGATAGACACAATTTTATGGATAACAACTTCTTTAATACTGTGAAAAGTGACGTTTCGGTATATATCCTTATACCGTTGTCAAGCAAGACTTACATAAAATTGCGTTTATCTTGTCATCCGTCAACTTCTAAGTAATGCCTATCAGTCCTGCTTGACAGCGGTATAAGGATCTATACCGAAACGTCGCTTTTCACAGTATTAAAGAAGTTGTTATCCATAAGATTGTGTCTATCTTGTCATCCGTCAACTTCTAAGTAATGCCTATGAAACAATTTAATCTGTAAGCAGTAGTCATGAATGTGACCTAATTTTGTGTTGGATTTATGGAGACAATAATGCAAAAACAATTGCTTGGTTAGGCAATCAAATGATCACTTGCAATTTATTTTTGAAGTAATAAAAGCAAGGCTAAGAAGGGTTGCAGTGTAATTATCAACAATTTCAAATGATGCCATCTGATTATCTATGTTAGGACTGTGACCACCTGATCAGGTAGGGTTAAACTGTGACAATATTATCAGAGCTGTGTGATTTGAAGATGCTGAGGTAGAGATATCATACCAAATAACATTCAAAGATTGTACTTGTTATCCTGCCTTGCACTTGGTATTAAGGGGATAAAACAAGGACTGATCGGCTTGATGTCAGTGTAAAGTGTCTGAGTGGGGTATCCATGTTAAACTGCGGCATGGTGACTCAGTGGTCTAGCATTATAAAACTGGCAATAGTCTGGACTAATACAAACAGACAACCCTCACTCCCACCCCATCACACAACATGTGCATGCACACCGCAATGTAAATGCAATAATCATTAACACAACATTAAACCCCATTTCACCTCACACTATGAAACAAGGTATCTGATGCTAAAATGTTGCATAGAAGGTTCCGGCAATGTGTCATTTGCTCATTGTTAGTACTATAGTCAGAGATGTTAAACTGTTTCATATTTTGAGGCTGGACCATTATATGGCCTGTGTGATTTAGAGATGAATGACAAAATTTGATCTAAAGTGTTGCAAATAGCAAAAAGTTGAAATTGTTCCTTCTCTTTACTCGGTGTAATGGAATATGTAGTTTATATTTGCATACAGGTAGCCTTTAAGTCCTTGACTTTACATATTAGATCTTTGTTTGTCAATTTGTGACAATGTCTACATAAGAAATTGTACATTGTTGCAGGATGAGAAGTTTCTTACCAGTCTTCAATGTTTGAACTCTTTCAGGTATGTTAGTCGTACTTGTTTCATGTTTTGTTAAGCATTGTTAAAATATTTCAGTGACAAATAGTAATTAAGAACATATTAAAGTTTGTAATATGTTATACAAGCAGAATTTGTACTACACAAACATTATTTGTTTATAATTTATCTCATTACTCAGTACTGAAATACAGATGGATGAAAGTGTCAGTCTGTGTTTCAGTGCCCAGCTGTTGTTGTCTAGAACAAGCATTGGCTCTCTCCTCTCGTGCACACTGCCACAACTCCAGCAGATAGCTCCTGAACTCCCAGAGAAAGTTCATCTGGTATGGAATAACTTATGCAAAGTTTTCAATGTTTAATGAGAAATTCTAAAACAGTGTGTGTCATTTAGCTGGTGGAAATATAAAGAGGAAGCTATAGTCTTCTCTTGAGTTTGTGTTCACCCTATTGTCTTCCCACAACTTAACATATATTAAATGTCTTTAAAATAAGTGTAATGCAGGGTTAGACGTGACCACTGGTTCGATCTTCTACTCAAGCCAAGTGGAATATGAAAAAGTGCACCGAGTAAAGTGAAGTACATGTACTTCCTTTGAAATTGTAAATCATTATGGTATCAAAATCTGTTATTTTACATAAACAACCTCCTATGACAATAATCAAGGATTGTGTCGTTTCTGTGTTTCTCGTAATGATATATTTTCAGATGTTTCACAAAAAGGTCAACTGTGACACAGGATTACACCTGAGATCGGACGACACAGTAAACATGGAATCGCAACCAAGAGCAAACCCAACCCAGGCACCAAACAGGCAAACTGACACGAGCTGTCAGGCTTCCGCAGCACATGATCATCTCCATCAGGGTTTAAACATGACTTCAAGAAATAGTTACCAAACCTTGAAGGAGATACAGATCCCGAGGTTCTCTGATGTGGAGTTCCTGACAACCCAGCCACATCCACAGGGTTGTTCCACACCAGCTATACCCTGTTTTCGACAAGAGGGTTTGTCAGAAGACCCATTTTTCAGACTGGTAGAGCAATATCCGACCCAATCATCTCTCAGCCAAGACACAAATGATAGCCCTGGAAATTCACAGGGGTACACTAAACCCAATGAATATGTTCTAGCCAAGATTGAAGGTATGGCTGAAAATGAAGCAAGGCAGTTTGAAGAAATCGTAACTCCTGATTTTAATCTTTTAGGAGATGCAGACATACAGAGAGCTAGGTCTTCAAAAGAGCTTCATATGATTAACCAAACAAGTCTGTCCGATGCCTTAAGGCCCAGAAAGGTGCTGTCCCGGGCTAACATGTATGTAAATGGAGATCAAGATATCCTGTCTGGATTTTCCGTACAAGTACCAAACAAGAAGCCAAGTTTTAGTTCAGTCTTGCGTGCGAAAGTTAATTCAAAGAATAGATTCATGCATGAGTTCAATCAAAGTAATTCATTTGATGAGGTTAGTCCATCCTCCACACAGATCTCACAGAGTCATCAAAGTAATTTCTTTCCAGAAAAGTCCATTAGGGAAAGCTATCAGGGTCCTAGTTATGTTGATGGTTCCCTCTTGGACATACCTAAAACACATGGGTTGCCTAGAACTGATGCAGGAGTGAGTCACACCTGTGTTGATCTTGGAAGGTCTATGCTGCCAAGGTGTCATGAACGCCGCCCTCCACTACATTCAATTAGTGATGGCCGATGGCCTGACTTCACAAACGGGTCATCCACAGTGACAAAATCCCTCCTTGGCCGACCAGCATTCAGTGAACACTTCCAGAGTTCTCTGCTAAAGCCACCTGTTCAGAGAGTCAGCATTGGACTTGCTCAGCCGTTGCGGAGAGATACTCAACAGGAAGAAGTACAGAGAGGCAAGTCGATGTAGAAATATCCTCGACTAGAAGCTGGGATCATATATAATGAATAAGGAAGAATATCCTGTTTTAAATATGTTACACACTCAGTAAGCCTACTCATAGTTCTCTCTTTTAGATATGATCATTGTTGAGAGTCACTTATGCAAGTTGTCATCAATCCAAGCCAAACCCTTGTTGATTTCATAGGGTAATTCCGAAAAAGCCAAACATGTAGGTAGATTTCTTGGTTAGTATTTGTTGGTGTGAGTGTGAAAACTATTTAATGCTACATAAGCAATTTCACAGATATCAAAGTTACTTGTTTGAAATGAATACTATTCCAACCTAGTCTTGTTTCTAGGGTGCTGATTGGTGATAATCCATATCATGTGTTTGATGCCTCTAGAGTTAATGTTGAAGTGTGCTTGTTTATATGCCGCAGTCAGCAATATTCTCTTTCTTTTCATGTTAAAACTAATAAGGCAAACAAGGGTCTGAAAGAATCAGCCATCTGCAGTGACAATGGCACAATGACACACAATCAGCAAAGTCATAGAGTCTGACCTGACTATTTATTTCAGTTGCCTGTTACAATCAGCAAAAGGGTGCTCAAGTCCTAATGAAGTAATCTTACCTGGGTCACCAATTTTGTTGCTTTGACAAGCAAGGGTGGTTGGGACGTATTCCAACCGAGGTCCACGAGCAGGTGTTACTGTTCAAGTGGATAGTGTCATGTATAATACAGAACATTGAACTGTTTCAGCAGCACAAGCTACTTCAGGATGGATGAACTATGACTCTCCTCCAATGGACATGGAACCAGATTCTCCATACCAAGGGGCCTCCATTCGCAAGGAACATCCTTACTCTTACAGACAGGTACTGCAATTCATTTCAATGATGAAATCAGTAAAGAAAACTATTCCTGTTAACCAGTGTGAATTCTGCAACAGAATAGGTCCCAAGTACCCAATGCTTGCTGGAAGAGCCAACTAAGCATGCCAAGGATGTAGTTATGTGGTAAGACCTGGTTGGTTGTGTATCATAATGCCAAGACACTGTGGATCATTGTACATGATGCTGACCCCTTGTTTGCAAGGCCTAGACTATTATTTGCAGGCCACAGTGATATTCCAGCAGCACCATGCAGGGGAAACCAAGATTAGGCTTTACACATTGCACCCTCTGTGGGAAGCGAACCCCGGTCCTTGCCAACCTACAAATGTTGCCCATTGTACATGTCTAATGTCTTACATTATTGGCTGTCTGAAATATTTTCATTCCAGAAGTATCAGAATCAAGATCCCTCCAGAATGTTTCAAGCAGAAAAAGAACAAGGTATTAGATGCCACAACAAATGTTAGTTCTGAATATTGGACATGAACTGATATAGCTTCCTGAGGTAAGAGTGTCCACTAACCTATATCGAAGTGTAGTTTTCATAGACTTTGATAGAGGCCAGTGGACACTCTTGCCTCAGGAAGATGTAATAAGGATCTGAACATCTTCCCATCATGTGACCAAACCCAGTTAAATCATCTGCATGTATGATTGTGTAAATCCCAGCTGTTACTTTGAACTAAACTACCCATGTTGACATTTAAACCCAACACACTCGGCAATATTTCAGCTATATGAAGGCAGCTTGTAAATACTTTTTTGAGCCTGGGTAATACCATCCAGTGATTGACATTGTAAGCAACACTCCATGCTGTGGTATGAGGACACGCTATCAACCATGTCACTGAGTCTGACCAACCAAACCATTTGGTCTTGTCTTACGACTAGCATAGTTTGCTGGGGAAATATTCTAACCCAGGATCCCCATGAGGATCCCATGTGGTGCTTCTGTAGTAGAAAATTCCCCAAGTGACATGTGCTTGTTATAACAGCCAACTAATAACGACCATGTGGTTATGTGGACCTGAATGGTGTTGACTACTTGCTGCCAACCACTGGTTCTACCCAGACTTTATTGTTTACCAACCATCATCACATAGCTGGAATATTGCTGTGGCATAAAACGTTCACTCCCTCAGTTTACCTTTACTTAGAGGCAATACAACATGTATTAACTTTCATTCTTTCTTGTAATGTTAAATGACCTATTACATGTTATGAGCTATAACCCAAAGGAATGAAAAGAATTATGCAATATATTTCAGGTGAAGATGTCAACTATCTCTTAGAAGCTTTTCCAAACAAGAGAAAAAAGCTGACCTACAAACCCCTGCCTGGTAGAAGCCGAGGACAAACTGTGCTGGCATTTCGATGATATGTTGTACAAACTGATTGTATATTGAAAGATTGCAATTATTCCAACATACTTAAATAGTGATATTGCAAAAATTAGATGTTATGAATACAAAACATACAAGTTATAAATATCTTTTCAATGCAACATCTCCAACATCTTTTGCCAACATCCAAAAGATGTTCATGCAATCTGAATTTTGGCATAATGTTCTTGTGTATATATTAATATGCATCAGACCATTTTATGGTGACACATTTTACCAAGTATTTTGGCAATTGGTAGCATCTCAACTAGTGTACTCTGACCATGGGGTTTAACCATTCTGTCAGTGTTCCATTTCGGTTATATCTTGAGAGTCTTTGTTCATGAATACTGTGAGAAATAAATTGATTCTTTTAAATCTCAAGAAGGCCACAAGTGAATGATTCTTCCAAATATTACCAGTGCTCAGCACTTTTCAGCTTCCTGTACATTTGAAAGGGGCTCAATTTGTCCAATAGATAGAAAGAATTATCTTGTATCTCAAAAAACACTACATCCCTTAAGGTGAGGTGAGGTGGGGTGAAATTGGGTTTAACGTCGCGTCCAAGATTATTGCACTTATATAGCGACGTGCATGCACGTGTGTGTGTGTTTGTGTGGCTGCTTGTACTAGTCCGGACTGATGCCGATTTATAGTGCTAGCTCACTGAGATACCATTCCGCAGTTTAACATGAATACCCCACTCAGACACAGTATACCAACTCTGAGCCGACCAGTCCTTGTTTTATCCCCTTAATGCCGAGCGCCAAACAGGGTAACAACAAGTACCATCTTTTAACGTCTTTTGGTATGACGCGGCTGGGGATCGACCCCCGGACCTTCCGCTCTCCAGGCCGACGCTCCATCACTAGACCACGGAGGCGGTTCCCTTAAGGTATTGCAGGACAGAATGGGTCCCCAGTACACAACCACCTGTATGATCTGACCATTAGCATGGTGACGATGTATGACCTGTTTGCTTGTGTTATCCTACCCTGATGGCATGGATCTGTTCTCATCACTGATTTATGTGATATTGCCAACTGTTGAGTAAAATAATATTCAATCATTTATATGCTTCATAAATGACAATTATCACCAACATTTTAAAAACATGACGACAAACAAACCATCATGAGCAACACAGGTGACAGTTTGAGAGACATTTATTTACAGACTGTACATGTAAGGATGCATCTGTTTGCACTTCATCCAGGAGTTGTGATATTCTACTGATCGATTTATGAATGTTATCAGTGATGTCCATTGTTCACATGACAAGTGATTAACACCAATCATACTACAGTCCCTCACAAGAAGAACTTCCTCCTGCTGGTGTCCATTTCATGACGCTGAAATAATAGAAAGAAAAATATTCATCTACCATGAACTGAAACAATATAATGTTTATACATGACGTTATTTTTAGATCTACATGATCTAAACTGGTAATAAACAGGTATATCCATGCTCCTTTTAAACATGTTAAAAATATACATGTATTTAAGTACATTTCAATCTCTCTTAGTACTGTTTTTAGTGCTGGTTAATAAATTTGGACCATAAACTATGTCATCAACAAAACGATTATTAAGTAATGCTTAATATTTTGTATTCAAAAGTACCTTGTGTATCCATTCATATTCCCCATATTTTGTGTCAAAAGTTCCTTTCTGAAGTGATCTCAGCTTTAGGGTGAATCTTGGACCTAATTCACGAAGTCCAACTTTCTTTGAATCTCTGAATTCATATCTGAAAGTACAAGAACACCATTACAGCATGCAAGGAATCAAAAACTCAGAACTAATCATAAATACTGGTACATATTCAAACTGCAATACAGTGATTGCAGCAGTCTACAATATTACAACTTGGTCTTAATGTCCTGAAATGTAATTAACTGGACCAAATACTGGTGATTGATGGTGTGAACATCTATGTTGTACACTAAGATGTTTTTTTTATGATAATGATGTAAGGCCAGATTTATGATTTACATTCAATGTTTGTTGTTTAACACAGCACTCAGCAACATTCCAGCTACATAACAGCGGTCTGTAAATAATTAAGTCTGGACCAGACAACCCAGTGATTGATATCATGCGCACCGACCTACACCCAAGTCAGTAAGTCTTACCACCCGATACCATTATCAGTCGCCTCGTCAGACAAACATGGGTTGCTGAAGACCTATTTCCCCCTCCCCCCCACACTGCTGATCCCCATCAATATGAATGGCACAGTCTTATTGAGAAGTAAGTGCTGGGAAAGGAACAGCAACATAATGATTGAAGAACACACGAATCATGAACATTAATGCTCTCAATCATGACTCACAGAAGTGGTAATTGTGTCAGACCTGCATCACCTTGGGATTTCCTTCCACATGAAAGCTGACACGCTGTGATAAAACTGGAATTCTATTTAAACTGACACTGCCTCCTTGGTCTAGTGGACAGAATGTTTGCTCAGAAAGCGGAAGGTCAGTAGTTCAATCCCCGCATCATACCAAAAGACAGTACTTGTTACCCTGCTTGCGCTAAGCATAAAGGGGATAAAACAAGGACTGGTCGGCTTGAAGTCAGTATAATATGCGGTATCCCCGTCAAAACTATGGCATGGTATCTCAGTGGGCTAGCACTATAAAATGTCCTGACTGGTGCAAGCAGCAACACAAACATGTGCATGCATGTCGCTTTATAAGTGCAATAATCTTGATTGTGACGTTAAACCCCATCTCACCTTACCTGTTCAAACTCAATCATTTAGATATAAAGACCTCAAACTGATGAATGTTAATGGAAGCAAAACATACAGGCACAGAAATTTCATCAGGGTTTCAACACAATTAGCCTTACATTATCCTAACAAACCCTGCAATTCTCAGTAAACACAGCCACAGCGTGCATTCAGTATGAGTTCACAAGCATAAGGAAATGCTAGGCAAAAGCATATAGTCTTGTTAGTAGATCATCTCATAAAGTATAGGATAAGTAAGATCATCACCTGTGATGTCTGAAAAATATAAAGTCTCTCTGGTTGTGGAAGGTGGCTACACGCCGCCCCTGGAACTCTGGGTCATGGGGGAAGAGGGAGGCCAGGAGACGACCAATGGTGTGGCCGAGTCGGGTGTTGAAGTTGTTCAGCATCACCTCGGGGTGGTGGTCGGTCACACGACCTACTTTCTGAAAATAAGGATGACACCCATGATGTAATCACTGATAATTAGCAGGCTATGGAATGCAAATATAGGTGTATACAACTTAAGTTCATGAAGTCGTACAAATTTTCTAGATATTCACTTACATGTGGATGAGATATACTTCCATTTGCTGGTAGTCAGTGAAAGTTTGCATTAGGCCATGAAAACAGTAAAGCTAAGATATTTATGGATGACAACTTCTTTATTCTATTATGAGACATTTCAGTATACATTTTATACCGTTGTCAAGCAAAAGTGATCTGTATCCAAACGTCGCTTCCTAATCATAATAATAGAATACAGAAGTTGTCGTACATAAAATATCTTTACTGTTACTTACCAACTTTTGAAAATGCCACTCAAACAGGCCATGACATTTTCAAAGAAACTGTTTCTCATTATCATACTGGTCAACATTGTCAGTGTAACAGAATCACAGGAAGAATATTTTCAGTGTAATCAATAAAAGTCTTGTTACAAAAATGTTGTTAATATTAGTTCAGTGAATGCCCATATTGTCTGCATGAAACTGGTGAATTATCTCCCTTTGCTTAAACTATGCTGCCATTGATACAAATAAGAATGAGTCTGAATTAGTTTTCTGCCTACACTGAACAATGGTGAAAAATGGGGCCAAAAAGGCAGCCTAGTCATTGTGTAGCTTCAGATGACTAAACATGTTATTGTGAGAAAACTACATGCTTCTCCTCAACATGACTGACCTTGATGTCTGTTGTCAGTCTAACATTAGACATCTTGAAGTGTGCTGTGGGTCCATCAGGGAGATGAGAGATTACTAAACCATCTCACAGTGTTAAGGATAAAATCTCAAATACCAATATCAACAGGCAATACATGTAAAAACCATGCATTCTGGTAAGGGTGTTTTTGTAAGAAAGCATGTCTGAAAATAGCATGGTTGGTAGGTTTGTTGTTAACACCACACTCAGCAATATTCCAGCTGTACGACAGCGGTCTGTAAATAATCGAGCCTGGACAGACAATCCAGTGATTGATATCATGAGCATCGATCCACGCAATCGGGATCGATGACATGCATCAACCAAGTCATCGAGCAGAAAATACGTGGCTCAGTTACATTCCATTTCTCTGTGACATTACCATGATTACCAATGGTCAAACACATCAATTTGTTATAAATAAGAAATAGGTCATACAGCACACACAACGATAAATAATCTTTATATTCTTGTAAAAATAAATAACCTGAGCACTGTTTCTCAGTGCAACATTAGTGCTTTTACAAGTCTGTGATGGCTATGATATGCCAAGTGCAACAATCGTAGACTTATTGATTTATGAAATGAAGCCAAGTCATTCCTTACCCAGGACATCATTTAAATGAATAACAAAATGCTCATTCATAAGGATTTATCATGACGAAGTGTTCTTCTTAAAATGTCCTAAGATCAAGGATACTGGGTTCTTTTCTGTCTTCATTAATGACCAGAAGATCTGTGAAATCTTTGGCAATAGCTTGTGGTATCACTTTCTTCAGATCTAGAGCCCGTCTTTTGTAAACCTCAATGTTCGGAATAACTTTCTTCAGCTCTTTGCACAGCTTTCTTGTTCTCTGGAAAAGAACATTATACTTTTTTGATTTCTTGATAAATGAAACATAATACAATGATGGCAACACAAAACAATGCAATATTCAATTTGATCTGTGTCAACAACCTATCAAGTGCTATGGTTTTGGCTGAAATGATATTAATACTTTGTTGACCATGCTGTGACAAGCCATGATATTGATAGCAAAATAAGATGATATTTTGAGTAATTATACACAATTTTACATAATCATGATAATAGTCAACAACAACATGTTCTGAATTCATGAATGAATTTCTTTGACTATATCATGATGGGGGGTGAACTGATCGTAAAATGGCAACTTACAGTGGTGGGTCTGTCTGTTGTTGTGAGAAGAATCTTGGGGGTTGTCTTTCTATTGAAGTATGTCGACATCTCATCTTGAGATTCATCTTTCATGATCTACAAGGATTACAATGATCAAGTAACCTCTAATATTGTATTGGCCCCTTTAAAATTCTAGTGTCTCAAAATTATACTTAAATTAAGTCTTTTAAACGAAAAACTGATACCAGAACACGAGAGCATTTCCTTTGAACACTAAAAAATTAAACTTAAAGGCTGGTAATACAATGAATAAGATTTACTACAAAGTATATTAACATGATAACTAAGTCCCAAAAAAGGAGAAAAGAACACACTCCAATAACATCACTTAACAGTAAACTTTATCATGTTGAACAAGATAAGTTATACACAAAAGTTAACAAAACTATGAAATAATCTGACAACATAACCATGTTAAGCATTAATATCAAAATAAATAGTTATAATAAAATAGTGTTAAGCTTAAACATGATATGGTAAAACCTTGCTTACCTAGAAAATACAAACATATTTTACATACTTAAACTTGGCTTGGACAATATATAGACTAACCTCTTCATCCTGGGTGTTGACCATGGTCTCATCAAATACACGCATACTCTCAATCGTCTTTGGCACCTTTTTGGGAGGAGCCTAGTTGAATATCAAAGAAAGTAAATGAATACATCATCCACAATAGGTAACTTGGTTTAGCAGGTTCAGGGGAGTGGTTAGCTATTTCATGATTACATTGTGAATAAGCATAATAATGAACTCTTATTCTGATAAAAGTCTACCACTTTTTGATACCCATGTATGTTGCTGACATAACTGAGGGCAAATTAAATTTGGGATGCAAACCAATGATCAGTGGTTGGCTCTTGTAGCAAAATGATTCAAACTTCAGAACCACATCAATATCCACTAGGCCTTCCTTTTCCCCTCCTCATTTAGCACATTACTTTGTCTTTAGGTCACAACAGTCGACCTAAGTCGGCATGCTTTGTTGCAATATGACCATGTGATAGCATTCCAGCAATGACCATCAATCATACTTGACAGATACTCTTAAAACATTATACCAATAACCATGTTAATTATTGTCACTTGCTTGCTTGGTTTGTTGTTTAACGCCGCACTCAGCAATATTCCAGCTATATGATGGCGGTCTGTAAATAATCGAGTCTGGACCAGACAATCCAGTGATTAATATCATGAACATCGATCCACGCAATTGGGATCGATGACATGTATCAACCAAGTCAGCGAGCCTGACCACCTGATCCCGTTAGTCGCCTTTTACGACAAGCATAGTCGCCTTTTACGGCAAGTATGGGTTGCTGAAGACCTATTCTACCCCGGAATAATTATTGTCACTATTAGCATGCCTATCACAGTAATAAATATTAGTGGATTCTACTTTACAATATGGTATAATTGTCTTTAATGTTATGGATTTTGAGTAAACATTTGGGGGAATGTTTCTTTTCTTAACATCTTAATAAGTTGGACAAGATGGATAAGTGTAACAGATCCCAAATTAGAATATTTTAATAACACTGGGTTTAACATGTTTGAAGACAATTACTTTGAAGAAAACTGAGTAAAAAAGCTATTGCAGTTTCATTCGGAAAGTGGATCCCATCCAATATCATGTCATTTTTAATTGACGTTTTCCTTGGTCCAACTGTTGCTAGACTCACCTCTTCACCCATTGCTTCAGCCTCTTGTTTTTCTCGCTTCTTCTCTTTGAGCTTTGCCTGAAACCATAAAAACCGGATTTGACGAATGTTTGCATAAATATTTCAGTCGATTCCTCTGCTTTATGTTATTATGATTATTTGTCTCTGCATGATCTGAAGTTTTGGGATACGGTCTAATATTTAATTCGCATATGGTGTTACCAATCGTAACCTGTGAAAACGTGAGTTACTCTAGATCGTTTTATACAAATAAGACGGAAATTCGGAAGACATACTTTTCGTTTCTCTGATTTCATTTTACGATATAACTCTGATCGTATCTGTTTGTTTTTAACACGTGAGATGTTGGGCCGAGGAATCGTCTGTATTTCTTCTTCTTCATCTTTCCCCTCTACAGCACGAGTCACGTTTTTCTTTCTCGACGCCATCTTTGAAAAATGATTGTAAATGATGGACTCAGGGTGTTTCCGGTGTTCGCTGAAACGAAAAACGATTCACGATATGTAATCAAATCTAGACTATCCGTATTATACCAAAAATGTCTATGATTGAATTTCCATACTAGTTACTGATATTAGCGATAGAAGAAATAATCAGGTGTAACCGAAGGCACATTGTAGATGAAGCTTACGCCAAATGTGTGATGGAATCATTGATCCAATCGGATCTAGTTTTGTAGCAAAATGCATGCCGAGAACGTCCGTTTAGTTTTATTATAAACTGTTCATATTTATACAACAAGTAATGTTACATATTCCCACAAATGCCATTCGTGATCAACTCGTGTCATTCCCGAGCAAGCCGAGCGGAATGAGACGAGTTGTGACAATGCTCAAAAGCTTGAAAGCATGATATTTCTGATGAACAGTTACGCGTGCTAAACTATTTGAATCACTCGTAAAATATTAACCTTTTCACCACAGTCGTCTGAGCGTCACGCCGGTCGTCTCAGTGGGGACATAAAATGGGACAAGAAATAGTGAACATGATAACTGTGAGATCCCCATTCTTCTAAAAATCACAAAATTCTCGATAAAACGGTGGGAATGGTAACCTCCCCGACATGAAACTCACTCACTCACCACGAACCTTTTCAGTTTCTCCCCACTAATATTATTTCGAATCATGATGATTTTACAGTGGAACTGCATTGGTCTCCGCTCAAATGGGCATGAGGTTAAGGCAATTACAGCCCTAAACAAAATTCAACCCCTCATAATAGCATAACAGGAAACCAGGACCCGATTGCACAAAACTATGTTAGCGATATGTTAAAGTTTATGTTAAAGTATGGGAGTTACGATCATCTTAGCGCTAAAATCTCTTTGTGCAAGTGGGTCCTGGAAAAAACTCGTGCGATCCACATAGGTTCATCACAACTATAAAGAAACTAGATACATCACAATCTCACCAGAGTTAGATCTTTTACCCCGATTCCATACTTAAATATCTGGGTATCATGAGAATGATCTACAGTATCCATTATATCCGGCACCATGGTTTAAACACGTTAGGAATGAAGACTGACGATATCAACCGTTAATGGTTTGAAATTCCCTTGAACAGGAAATACATGTTTTACATTTAAAGTAATTCCGTATTTAAAGGTGAAAAGTTGTTGTTTTTTTAAAACAATAAACGGTCGTTTTACTAATTTTGTAAAATATTAAAGCAGGTAAGAAGACGTGGAAGACACGGTACATGGTACACGTGATTTCCTTCACGTACATATTTTCCGTGAGAATATTCTCATGCTGTCCGTCAACAACACTTTAACAATAGCCTATAGACAGCCACAACATCAGTAAATGGGCATTTTGTAGTCAATACTACTGCATGTATACATCATTGTGATAAACACATTTTGATAAATATGCTGTTACGTGGATATAAATATACCTTTATTAACTCTAACGAATGATCGAATGTTCGCTTCAGTGATTATATATCCCGATAATCATCCAGAAATGACATCCAAGCTTAATGTGTTCAGAAATGATCAAAGCAGTTGACGCATAATTTCTGCATTTGTCGTGTGAATATGAGAATATCGCTATCCAGTTCATAACGTATACAATTCTAAACACTTCGGTGGGTTGCTTTGTCATATTTCTCAAGGACGTGTATATGCTGTGAAAAGAAATAAGGGAACAGATAACATTGCAGGAGAGTGATGGAGCTTGGTTTAACGCCCGTCTGAGCAGTATTGTTGTTATATCACTGCGTGTCGGCTTGATGTGGGAGGAAAGCCCGAAGTGATGCAGGGTTTAGACGTTTACCACCACCAGGGGTATGGTGCTGACAAAGCTGGATACATAATCAAGCCAAATCTTGGATTCGAACCCACGTTTCTGGTATAAGGATAGGCAATAAGGAAGGCAACTGCACAGCCAATTGCGGCGCTTTAGACGACTGGATCTGCGAACCAAATGCGGATTTTATTTGTGTCCTGCGTACCACACCAATGAGTCCCAAATACCCTTAACATAGACCCCGACTCCAGCGTACCAGAAGGGGGTTGGCAGCTTCACGCGTACACGCACGCACGCACGCTCGCACGCACGCACGCACACACGCACTACATACAGTCGCTCGGAGTATCGAGGGGTTGAATCGAAAGTATGGGCGGTATTTCTAAAATATAACGGAAGAGGAATTCAGTGCCGTGACACGCCTTATTGTTGGAAGTCTTGTGGAATGTTTTGCTTTGTCTCAGTCGTCTTGGGGATTGTATGCACGCCCGCAGAGCGTCAGCTGCAAACACAGGAGCTGTACAACGACGTCGATTAGCCGATGGCCATCACAAAAATTCAGTTCTCCAAATATGAAATACAATACAAATTGATAGAAATATTTCAGTAGAAATACGAAGGAAGTGCTTCTTATATTTAAAATTGTTGAATTTGCAAACATTTCCTGTCGGGACTTGACTTAGCAAACATGAAATACGATCTATTCACGAAATTGGTCCCTGAAAATATCATGGAAGTGTTTGTAATCCAACCGTTGGCTAAACCTTTATTGTCAGTTTTATGTCGTCACGTGTGTAGTCTGGTATTACCACATGTGTTCAAGGCCGTTCATAATATATACTACTCAAAAGAAACTAAGGAACATCCGATTCTGTCATGGCATGACAAATTAACTATAGTATCATGAAAAAATCAGGACAGATTAACTATAACAATATGAAAGAATCTAGTGGTCAATTAACTTCTTTTCAGAGGGATACATGTGTTTTCTGTAACATACCGAACAAATAGCGTTTCATTCATCAATCAGCATCAGTAAGAGGCGACGAACGGGATCGAGAAGGGGGGGGGGTGGGGTGGTTCTCGCTGCCATGGTTGATGCATGTCATCGTATCCCAATGGCGTGGATCGATGCTCATGATGTCAATCACTGGATTGTCGATTATTTTTCAGACCGCTGTCATATAGCTGGAATATTGCTGAGTGCGGCGTAAAAAACAAACAAACAAACCAATATCTACCAGTAAATCAAGGAACCTATTACATGAGACCAGACCATATCACACCTGCCTCAGACGTTGCAAGAATTATAATTTCTCCCTGGAGTTATGTCGGTAATGTTAGAAGGGATGGTAATTTGACAAACGTATAGATTTGACATACCTGTGCATCAATCAGCATCAATTTACATTGAAGATGAAAATCGACGCTTATGAATATTAAATATCGCAATTATACATGTCTGAAGGACACATACGTATGGATGTGCACGTGACTTTAAAATTTAGTGATGTGTATTAATAGAAATCAACTACACTTTAACAAAAACGTTCGTGCGTCAGGCACCTATCATTATGTACTTGTGGAAAGAAAGGAAAAATATTTTAATCTTTGCAAGTGTATAAAACGTATAGACTTTCAATAGGAACACAGACATCTCTCGAACCTTACAATTGGCGAGGCGGAACTAACTACGACAGCCTAAAACATGTCACGCCTGAACTGGCCGATATCAATTTGCGTGTCTTGGTCCAGCACGAGAGAGTGTGAGACTGAAGAGGCTCTCGAGGAGTGGGATGAAGTACCAAAAATGAAATATGATAAACGCCCTTTCATATAGATGTAATACAAATAGACAATTTTGGTCAAAAATGGACTTACACGCGTTAACAAAATTAAATTGCACTCTAAATATATAATAAACTGACCTTTTTCACACACTGTAGGACATAGGGTGCCATATCAGTCACAAATTAACGTCAATGATTGTTATAAAAACACACACACACACACACACACACACACACACACACACACACACAAATAGTCAATGCATTGTTTGTTAATGCAATGGGATAACTTTGTTCACATTTTTTGACGGATTGACGTTGATAAATTAAAATTTAAAAAAAAGAAGACTGTAAATATCCGAATTTGGCACACGTATATTCACCCGTTATAAGTTTTTTACCCTTTTTAATTAAGAAATAAACGACTCGTGGTCGTTGTTTATCGTACAATAAAACACTGCAGGGAGCATGAACCATGAGGGCGCAGCCCCGAGTGGTTTATTCTCCCTGCAGTATTTTATTTCTTTTGTGAGATATCAACGTTATGTACAGCCCCTTTAAGGATGATGATAAAATGTACAAGCTTTACAAAGCATTACCCGTATTTAAATAATGATGACTCCCTTAATATTATTCGACCTCGGCAATGTCGGACAAGTCCATTTTATTCACAAGTGGTTATTTCCCGCATATTCTCACAATCCGAGTAATCGAGTATCTGTACACCCCCCCCCCCCCCCCCCCCCCCCTACCGATTGTCATATCCCTCACGCTTTGGGATGTGATCGGTCGGGCATCGCCTTTATCTGCGTTGCCCAGCTACATCTATAAGGAACAATTCACAAGACAGTACCCTCGCAAAAATAACGTTGTCATATATACGACGTCATCAAGTTGCGAGAGCATGTTCAAATCTCCAGAAATGACGCCATTATAGAACAATGTCTTATCGTGAAATAAACCACGCTTCACTCGGCACTGTTCTTTGCGAGTTATCGCGTAGCTATCTTATATTATATATTGAAAAACAGAAAGGAAAAAAGTGTACGTTGAGCGGTCGGACTGAGTGTAATAATGCCTCTGACGTCATTGCGGGTGAGTCAATGACGTTATCAACACAATGACGTCACGATTAAATTACGCCAACAATGAAAAGTCACTGCCCTTGGATGAATAGAGAATATTACCCGAGTATCTTATGATATCAAATATATCAACATGAGTTGATAAAAGTAGAAACACTCCGAGGCTTGCCGATATATTTGATATCAAAAGACACGAGGGTAAGATTTTATTTATTATCCAACATCATTCCTCCAACTTTTTCAGTTTGTAGACAGTAATAAACAGTGTCTTTAAGTCTTAAGAGTATTGCTGACAGCTTCAGTAGCAGAGCCATTAGAGATGTCATTTGATTGTGACGTCATGGTAACCAATAACATCACAATGGTCTGCAAAGCATTGTAAAGCAATTTCATTGCAGTGATATCTACACTGTATATATCGCTTAATGTCACCTCTCCTGTGGGAGCCAGTTTGGGATGATGAACCGAAAGTTGACATAGAGAATGTTAACATTTATTATATACTTCAGTGTGAAAGAGTGTTCCGAAGTTGACATAACACTTGATATTTCACTGCAGTGAACATAACACTTTGACGGAACTATTGTCATACAAGAGTTACCTCCCCTCAAATGTCTCCCTTCATCGTAAGTGTCTGGCCCGTATACTAACTGTTGACGTCCTCCTTACGTTAGTTCATTGACAAAGCATGCATTTGCTAAGATTTGTTTGTTGTTTAACGGCACACTCATCAATATTCTAGCAATATGACGGTGTAGTTGCTAAGAATATATATATATTTGATATCGATGATTTCGGTCTAAAAGACTCACTGAAGTAAATAACTGATAACCAGATTTGCCAGCAAACAACGGGTGTGTGTATATGTTTTTCGCCGCTTATAGCAATATTCCAAAAATATCACGGCAGCCAGAGGGATACCCAAAATGGGCTTAACACATTATTGAGAATAGAACCCAGACTTTCGGCGTGACCATCGAACGCGTTAACCATTGGACTACCACACCGCCCCTACAAGCACATCGAGAAGAGCCTTTAGTGAATGAGTTATGACAGAGCTGGGTCGAATGGTATTTGTGGTATATCATAGGTGTGTGTTTATGTGGGAGCTAGGAAAGCCCGAAGTAATGCAGGCTGTAGACTGTGTTTGGTAATTTGATGAACCCCACGAGCACGGAAAAAGATCTCGTGTAGACAAGGTTCTCATTGTCGAATACTAATAGCGTACAGAGGTTTGGCACAGGACCTTTGACGAAGAGGACCATGTCTAATTTATGGTGCTGAAAGATAGATTATTCGAATCGGGTCAGCGCATCCTGGCACGACGAAAGAACGAAGGCATGCACCGTGTAGCGTCCTAGACCAGTGGTCCACCCGAGCCGTGACCCACATACAGCATCCAAACAAACGCAATTAGCGCGCACGTTTTGCTGCAATTGTGGAACTGTGTTGTTGGGGCGTACATGTAGACCCCCCACAGCCCATGTTTTTGTGACCTGAGATGTGATTATGTGTGACCCGCAGGGGTTGACAAGATGTCGTCTGCTGTGAACTCTCGACGACAGGTGACAAGTGTCCTCTCGGACTCCTCATTACCAGGACAATCGGCCGACGACCAACCAAACAAAACACAGGTATGTCAAATCTATACGTTTGTCAAATTACCAACCCTTCTAGCATTACCGACATAACTCCAGGGAGAAATTATAATTCTTGCAACGTCTGAGGCAGGTGTGATATGGTCTGGTCTCATGTTATGGGTTCCTCGATTTACTGGTAGATATTGGTTTGTTTGTTTGTTTGTTTGTTTGTTGTTTTACGCCACACTCAGCAATATTCCAGCTATATGACGGTGGTCTGTTAATAATCCAGTCTGGACCAGACAGTCCAGTGATTAATATCATGAGCGTCGATCCACGCAATTGGGATTCGATGACATGCATCAACCAAGTCAGCGAGCCTGACCACCTGATCGCGTTAGTCGTCTCTTACGACAAGCATAGTCGCCTTTTACGGCAAGTATGGGTTGCTCAAGAGCTATTCTACCCCGGTTCTTCACGGGTTCCAACACATTAAAGGATTATGTTACAAAGTATTTATATTCTAAGGAAAGGGTGGAGAAAATAAATAAAATGGAAACGTCCTTGAATCAATTTCCAGTGATTGTGTTTGATGTCAGAATAAACACTATGGCAATTGTGTGGATGTGACAAATAGGATTTTTGAACAACTGAAAATGGATCTGTGAAACACTGACTTCTTAAACACTCACTTTCTTGACAAGCATTAAGCAAAGACGACGCAAGCAAAGTCACTTTTTTGGGCAAGCATGGGTTGCTGAAGACCTATTCTACTCCGAATCTTCACGGGTCGGTAGATATTGGTGGGAAGTTGGACGGGTGTTGGTTGGGATGGTTAGGATATTTGTAAAAATTAACCATATATATAATATGCCGTAACCATAAAAAAGGATATCATATAGAATGGGTTATTTAGATTTATGACCCGAAACATCACTTGATTAAGGATTTCTTAGATAAATTTACACATTGTATGAACTGAAACAGCATAAATAACGACATTTTAATTATATCTTTGACTAAATAAAATAAGTATTTTTGATGATATAACCCTAGCTTCTGTTAGCAAATCCTCTTTTGCCTGACTGTTTTTTATCAACCATTTTGTTTAATTTTCATCTCATGCAAAGAAATTTCTTAAACACAGGAACCCCAAACTATTATGGAAATTGAAATACGAGAGTATTATGAACAGGCATGTCTTTTTGAAAGCGTAAAATGGAATGCTTGGTGGTTGAGTAGGTTAGTCACTGACTTTGGTTGGCGATTAGGTTCAAATCTCGGATGGGACTCAAAAAGGTACCAGAATTTGTACTTTATCTCATGGTTTTCTTGTTTTATGTGGTTTATGACCTGATACTGAGTGAGTGAGTGAGTGAGTTGGGTTTAACGCCGTTTTTAACATTAATCCAGTTATATCAAGGCGTGTCAGCTTAATGTGGGAGGAAAGCCTGAAGTGATGCAGGTCTCAGACGTTTACCACTTCGATGAAACCCACGAGCATGGGTATAGTGCTGACAAACGTAGAAACATAATCAGGGCGAACCGGGATTCGAACCCACAATCATAGGTTTCTGATGTGCCCAAGGGACGCAACTCTACACACCGAATCGCGGCACCTTAGATGACTGGGCCACCAGTGCCCCCCTACTTTACTAAGAAATTGAAATCCCTTATATTACATTTATTACATGAGAGTATTAATAAAGTTATTATCTATGACTTTTGATAACTTCCTGATTTGTTCATGTCATTGTTTATTCCACGTACACAAATAGCATTGATAATTGAATAGTCTGTTTATTTGTCACTCCTATTTGCCTGATTACTCATTCCCTTTGAACACTCAGTGATTCATTGAGTCAGGGTAATTGCTATGCCTTCAAATATTCATGAGTCAGTATAGTCAGACATCAAGGTCACTTGTAACAGACACCAACAAGAAATCACTTTTTACAATTACTTTCTTAAGAATTCCTGATAATTATTATATGAAAGAACGTATGAGTGCCTTCATCAACACCAACAGCTGTATTGTTTCTCAGGTAATTGTGAATTTCATATTTATGAGTATTATTATCAGGAGGTAGTAAAACCAGGCTTGCATTTCATGGTTTTTTTTGAGTGAAAATATCATTAAAGATGTTATTTGATGTCTTAATGAAGCTTTCAAGTACTTTCTATACTACTCAAAATAAGTTAAAAAACACCTTTTTTTCATATGACTACAGTTAATCTATCATGGCTGGTGGGAATTGCAACACACAGTCTTCCAATTGTGGGTGTTCTTAACTTGTTTTGTGTAGTATGTATGTTTGAATAGAGAAATGTCATTAAAAGCTTTTTAAGTGATGCTGGTGACTTTGTACATCTTACAGGTTCAGTTCATGACATCATTGATATTCTTGATCATCTTCTGATATAGCAGAGCTGACTTGGATAACAAATAATGCATGAAACAGTCTTCAACTTTGGCTACTTTTCCAAAGCCTCAGTCTAGTTAACTCTGGTTTAGTTAGCTCAGGTAATAATTACCCATTATAACATTAAATCTGCTGAAGATGATGTTAACAGCCAGGTTTGACATGGTTTTTTTGCACAGGCTGATAAAATATCATAAACCAATCTTACTCCCTAAGCAGTGGTTATTCATGTAGTAATAGTACATGTGAAGAATCGTTTTGATAAACAGAATGTATGTTAAAGTGGCATATCAGAATCTGCAGTGTCAATGAAGGTAGAGTTGACAGTCTACTCGCTGGACAAGGAGATACAAACACTGGAACTGAAAAAGCACACTGAAAGAATAAAGAAGATGAAACTCATGTCACATTTCTTTCAAATGACTGCTAAATAAGACTGACTACTTTATCTTTCAAAACCACATTCGTCACCACTCGCCCCTTTCAATAACCTGTAAGAAGACTCGTCCCCCTATCGATGAATGTTATGTGCGAAAATATGACAAACCAATCAGAATGCGCGTATGATTTCAAGATCTTCGTCAAAGAATCCCTCAGAAATATGTTTTGATTTTACATATGTCTTGCATCTAAAAATATACCCAAGACACAGTTAAATGTGTTCCCATCATACTAATATAATTCTGCATGTCCCGATGTGCCTTAAATTGCATCTGAAATATATATAATATATGAGGAAATACATGTGAACAATTACGCAACGAGTTGACAATTGTTTTAGGTATGCCCGTTTGCGCTAAGATGGAGCCCGGTCGCAAAAATGGCCAGGAGAGGGGCACGAGTCGCTATTCGGCTTGTCCCGGAATAAAACGAGTTGGTCACGAATGTCAAAACAACTGTAGAAACAGTATTAAAATATAATTAGAAGGCGAAGCCTACCTTTTTGAACAGAGCAATAAAGACATTGTCACCAGTTCTTCTTGTTACGAACAGTTATTGACATATTATAGTGTGTATTGGTGCTAAGTTATTAGAATGCACAACAGTTACACTTCCATGTTTTCAGAACAAAAATGTCTCTGTAAAAAATACATCTTCACCCAAAATCTGTAAGACAAGAAATAACATTAGATGGAACTTTTTTAGTGTTTCAGTTTATGGTTCAACAGACTTGCGTGGAAAGCCACATTCAGAAAATGTACAGAAATAGTTAAAACTTCTTCTTTATTTTTGCCGATAAAATTTAATCGAATGCATTTTATTTTTAGTCTCTGGCCACTGCACACAAGGACAAAGCCTTATCTGTTGTGAGTTAATTGTTTAAGCATGAACATGTCCCTGTAAATATTGTGGGGGCGGTCGGGTAGCCTAGTGGTTAAAGCGTTCGCTCGTCACGCCGAAGACCCAGTTCGATTCCCGACATGGGTACAATGTGAGAAGCCCATTTGTGGTGTCCCCAGCCATGATATTGCTGGAATATTGCTAAAACCGGCATAAAACCTCACTCACTCACTGTAAACATTGTGAAACACCCTGCACTTAAAACAGGTTTAGCATTCCTACCAATCTGACCCAAACAACTTGATGCCCAACAGAATACATATAAATATACTGAGCCACACAGTGTTCTTCTATTTCAACATACCCAGACTCAAGGGTTAGCAAAACATCTGTAAACCATGATAAAAGTTATAGCCTCTGTTTGTCAACTAGAGGAAACATTGGCCAGGTAAACAACATTCACTCCTTAATGTTTATTATATTTTTTATGGGAAAAAATCCCCAATGCATTAAATCAAAAATAGTTTGCATTCAGAGGACGTAGATCTGTATTCAAGTTCATAAACATGTTCAGTTTATATACAAACCCCATGGTTAGGATGATTGAAGGAGGCTCAAATGTCTTATAAGATATATATACAATTGGCAGGAGGATTAAGTTCTTGAACAAGAATCCATGAAACTATGTATTACATTTTGTTGTACTGATCACACTTTAATTCTGACAGGTTGACTGCTATTAACAAGCATCTGCTCCTTTGACAGTTAATATGATAGTATTACCATAATAAAAGCTAATGTTACCTTCAGCATCTTTCAAAAGAACTGCAAGACATGTCAAGGTATATGAGATAGATTAAAGTGGACTCTTTGGATATATTGAGAGTAATAACATGAGATTTTGTCAAATTGTCCCGGCTCAACAAAAGGATGAGACATTTTATGGGCAGTGGGTTTATTTGCAACATGAGGCTACAGAAATAAGCTTTTCTTCAAATCTGGGCTACACCCTTTAATTTTCCCTCCCTTTGTTCAGTATAGTAACCGTTGCAATAATTATATTTAGCTATTTCCTATACCTCCAAAGGTGCACTGTTGTGTGAAAGTTGTTCTGACAACTGGTTGTTCATATCTCAAAAGGATGATGTTGTTAAGGTTTGTGAAGAAACTTATATCCTTGAGAGTGATGCTTTTCATATAGTGTTTCTGATTTTGACTTAAGTGGTTCTAAAGTTGTTGTTTTTCTGTCGCTCAAGTCACTACAAGTCAAGTTTGAAGGCTGAGGCATTTATCAATTTATTAATGTACATTATTAAAACGTGTTTGTTATAAAAACTTGATAAACATCAT